TCTTTCTTTCTTTCTTTCTTTCTTTCTTTCTTTCTTTCTTTCTTTCTCCTTTCTCCCTCCCTTCCTCCATTCCATTCATCTCTAGAATGTTTATGGCTGGATTGGACATAAATTAAAGAAGGGCAGCTATTTAGAATTTTAATCTTCGATACAAGTTAATTTGAGAAGCACCTTCCATTTCAGAAGATGACGCTGAATTTGCCAACATCGTCATTTTTCTCAATGTGGATCTATGACATATGGCAAAAGTGCTGCTTTTCCCACATCACAACAGATCTGTCTCCTGAATTAAAATAAATGTGTGAAGGGAGGGAGAATGCCTCTAATTAGAGTTAAGCTCTTGCCAATTGGTCACCTTGACCTGTCTTTAGTGATAATTCATAGAGGAAATTAAAGCAATTGAATTAAGTGGCCTGTTTTCTGTTCTCTGAATCCCTAAGGAGGGAGTGGTTGCATGTACTGTCAGTCTGATCCATTATAACACCCCTTCTTTTCTTCTGTTTGTGTTTAAACCTGCAGAGTGCTATAGAATCCTTGCTTGGAGCTTCGATCACTGGAGTGATCTACTCTCTCTTTGCTGGCCAGCCTCTCACCATCTTGGGAAGTACTGGACCAGTACTGGTTTTCGAGAAAATTTTATTCAAGTTCTGCAAGTAAGGCTGTGTACTTTTACAAGGGATGATGGTGATGAATCTAATAGAGATAATTTAACTAACCCATTTCTAACTGCTGACCTCTCAATCCTTTTTTATAAAACAGAACAAAATATGAGCACAGTTAGGGAGCAGTATTATAAGCTGGGATTCATTTGAATGCACAGGAAGCCTGAAATGTTAGTAGAGCAGAAAATGTGAAATTCTGATATGATTTTGATGCACGTGTGGATATATCATAGTGTATCTGAAGAGAAGTAGTGTCCCATCCCCTTCCACTTCCTAGGAATAGTTATGGTTAGTATTCCCAACCCAGGTACTAATTGCGAGCAGTTATTTCTCTCCTCCCTTCAGATTCAAACTCTGGCTCTGATGGATAACAACAACTCCACATCCAGAATAGTAGACAGAGGTAATCTAATCTGGAATGCTGACAGATTCCTATCAAAAACATATGTGGCCAAAAATATTACAGACTTTTAAAATGTGCCACGTTGCCTGGGAGTTCCCTCATTGTTTCTTCAATGGATTATTCCACTCATATTCTATGAGCTCCAATTCCTGCTTAAATCATTGTGGATTTAATCAGAAGGCTTCGTGGCTTGTGAGAAATAGGCTGAATGAAGAGAAGAGACGAACCATTTATTTATAATTTATACAGTTTTGAAATTGATACTTGCTTTGTGATGATTCTAAGGTGGAAATTTTAGAATGTTTAAGGTGCTATAGATGGCAATCATTTATCAATAACCGACCCATATCAATGTATATAGTTTCAGTCATTACAGGTAGTCCTTGTTTACTGGCCACTTGTTGAGTGACTGTTCAAAGTTGCAACAAGAAGTTACAAGTTACAAAGAAGACTGATGACAAATCTTGAAGTAGTAGCTGCTGCTTCATCCCTGCAGTTATGAGATTCCCATTTGTGACTTCCATGGCCGGCTTGTGACGAGTAAAGTCAATGGGGAAGTGAGCAGACAGTTGCAAGGCACAATCATACAGTGTTATGTTTAATGTCGGGTGATTAGCTTAATGGCCACAGCCAGAACTGATGAACTGATATAATATGAGTCAGTGCTGAATTTTGATCATGGGGATGTTGCAATGATTGTAAGTGTGAAAAACAGTCTTAAGTCATTTTTTTCAATGCCAATGTAAATTCAAACGGTCACTAATGAACTGTTGTAAGCCAAGGACTACCTGTATTGCCACTTTCTATCGAAAGGATAGGAGTGGAGGAAAGATCAATTAATGGACAACTGGTGAAGCTTAACAATTTCTATATTTCAATACTTTTACAATTTTATGATCAGAATTATTTCAGCATGTAATGTTTCTTGTTTCTTATCTTTGGCACCACTTCTTTGCAGAGACTATAAGCTTTCTTATCTTGCTCTGCGAACCTGCATTGGCCTGTGGACAACATTCATGTGCCTCGTGCTCGTGGCCACTGATGCTAGCTCTCTGGTCTGCTACATCACTCGGTTTACAGAAGAAGCTTTTGCCTCTCTGATCTGCCTCATTTTCATTTTTGAGGCCATAGAGAAGCTGTTTAAGTTGGGAAGGACTTACCCATTTTACATGGATAGCAATCTGGACCATCTGACTTTCTATTAGTGAGTCGGTGTTGTTTCTTCTATTTTGAACAAAAAATGCCTTACTGTACTTTAGTTGCTTTGCTTCCATATACTTAAACTCATCAGTTGGCGTAAGATTCCTTATTGTGAAGAAATGGCAATAATACTTAGACTTATATACCCCCCACACTGCTTTACAGCACTCTCTGGGATATTTACAGTGTCAGCATGTGGCTCCCAACAATCTACATTCTCATTTTACCCATCTCAGAAGCTGGAAGGCTGAGTCAACTGTGAGCACTGTCAAGATTGAACTCCAGGCTGTGGGCAGAATTAGCCTGCAATACTGTATTCTAACCACTGCGCCATCAGAGCTTCTTAAATAAGAAGCAAGGAAGGCAACGATCACCTAACAATAGTTAGATAAGAATTAGTGTATAGTAGATTCACTGGAACAGATATAGAATCTCCACTTAGGACCTTGCAATGAAAGCTTGAGATAATATATAGCATGAATGGGCAATTTATATCCCTAGGTTGAAGTCCCTTTTTGAGCTCCAAAAATGAGGGGTCTGCACAGGTTGTCTTGTACTTGGGATACCTTCTTGACTCACTGTTTGTCCTTCTTGAATTCTGGTGAAGGAGGACACCTGGTGATTCTTATTTATTTTTTTTTGCATTTGTTTGACTAAGACCTTACTTCTTCTGAATCATAGACTACAGCAAGAATGCTCTTTGGGTCTCAACAAAGATAAGTTGAGCACTTTTTAAGAAAACACTGAGGAGAGCAGCAGCACAGTACATGTAGTTAGTATGTGTGGTTCTATTGTTCGCACAATTTATTTTATAATTTATGCAAGCCTGGGCAATGATTCTCTCAGATTCTTTGATCCATTGAAAGAGGCTCAATATTTCCTTTGATAGTAGGGGGATGACTTATGCAGGAAATAATTTAAATTTGGACAGAGCTGATTTGATAGACAATTCAGACAATTCCTATATTATTATTAATATTATTATTATTATAGTTTATAAGAAGAGATGGGACAACCATTTGTCTGAAATGATATAGGGTTTCCTGCCTGAGCAATGGGTTGGACTAGAAGACCTCTAAGGTCCCTTCCAACTCTGTTATTCGATTCAATTCTATATTATTAAAATGAAAGTGCTTTCATACAATTGTTGATTAGTTTTATCTTGAATTCATAAAGATTGAAATACTTTTTTAAAGTCTGCAGTGTATAAAATGTATATAAAGTGTGTATGAAATATTTTGAATTCAATTGCCTCAAATGGGTTCCCCCTTTTCCTTTTGATCCTGGAACAGTTGTTATAAAACAACTGTTTTACCTTGACACAGGTTGTGGCCATCACTTTGGAAGAGTTTTGAACTCCGAAATGAAATCATCCAAAGGCCAATAACTTCCCAAGTATATGTGGCCAAGTGATTTCTTTGCTTTTTCATCCATCTTCAATTGAGCCAAATGGTAATTTGTCATGTGATTTGTAAACTCACGCGAAAGTATTAAATGTTCAAGGTTCTACATTACCTGCTTACTACCTTCAGCTCAGGTTAGACAAATAATTGATGGCCAATATGGATGAAGGGTTAAATACATTGGACTAGAAGCAGAGAAACCTGAATTCGAGTCCTGTTTTAGGCATGGAAGCTAGCTGAATGACTTTGGGCCAGTCCCTCTCTCAATCCAACCCATCTCATTCAGGTAGTTGTAGGGAAAATAGGAGGAGGAAACATGACATGCTGAATTTATTTAATTATGACAAAATACAATTTAGAACAAGTCAATAAAAACTTTCAAAAGTTGTTGGACCAGAGACTTGGGCTTTCAGAAGTAAATATGGTTTGATGCGTAATGCTCATTAATCCTTTTCTGTGTCCACTAGCTGCAGATGTGCAGCTCCTACACATCCCAATAATGATACCCTGACGTACTGGAGCAGTCAGAATATCAACCCTTCCAAAGTTGCCTGGGCTAATCTCACTGTTTCTGTAAGTATATGAGCTTGATCCTCTGTGCATAGCTAAGAAAATGATTTCTGTGATAACGTTATTTATTGATTAGAATGGAACATTAGTCTTTGTAAAAGGGATTTCCTTTCCACAAAACCAGTGATGGAGGGAAGGAAAGTAATTTTTGATGGGAAGACCTGTATATATTAGGAATTGGTAATAGGATTTTTTAAAATTAAGTTCCTCTGGGGCTTCTTTTCTTTTAAAATAAAAGCTGGCATATTAAGTAGTCTATTTAAAAAGAATTGAGCTTTTCCCCTCACAGGTTAGATTGTGGCCTGTTTGGATGTATGTTAGAAATGGGATTGTGTAGAATTATGAGGGTGGCTGTTAGCTAGAGGTCTCTGTAATGAGTCCTGTTATTGCAAATCACTAGGAAGAGACATGTGATGTTGACTATACTTCACTTGATTTGCTTCAATATATTTAAATTTTCAAAGAGCGTAAATGCATTCATGGAATAATTATCTAGGTACTTGCTACATTGCCAAAGGAAATTGTAAAGCAGGAGTGTCATACTCGATCCCATTGCCGGCTGTATCATAGTTTGCCCTTGGGGGGCTAGGGTGGGTGTGGCCTGGTCATCGTGGCTGACTGGGTGGGCGTGTCTGGGGTGGGACGGGAATGGGGCGGTATGAGCCAGTCCCTCGCCATCTCCAGGATGGCTCCGCGGGACAACTCTAGGCCTATTGTGGGGCCCTGTGTTTGATACATCTGCCATAAAGTAACCAGATCCTTGGTCTAACTTCAGCATGTTTCTCCTTTTCTTCTTGCTTATTTTGATAACTGAAGATCTAAGCCAGGAGTCTTCAAACTTGACAGCTTTAAGACTTGTGGACATTAACTCCCAGAATTCTTCCTCCAAACATGTTCGTTCAGGAATTCTGGGAGTTGAAGTCCACAAGTCTTAAAGTTGCCAAGCTTGAAGACTCTTGCTCTAAGCCATTAATACTTTTGTGTGTGTGTGTGTGTGTGTGTGTGTGTGTGTGTGTGTGTCTTCAGATGAAATAAAAAAAATTGTAGACATTTGGAAAGTAGTAATTATCCTTTTAAGCAATTTTGACAAAACTAAGTTTTGAATTAAAACTGCAAACAGCCATTCTTAAGTTGGCTGGCCATATATGTATTTTATTCTGCTTATGTTTGTCAAATGCTATGCAGCTGATTATCTGAACAATAATTAAGCCATTACTTATAAAATGATTGGATTTGTGGTATTTCATGCTTTTAATAAATACCACTGCATAGTATTTGTTAAACTATATAAGCTTCTATGCTCTTATATTTGTTTCACTTTGACTTAATTAGGACTAATAAATCGGGCAAATTCAATATTTCTACAGGTACCTTTAAGTGGGACAGATATTTTGTGGGGGATACTTTCAGACTAATCAATTCTTCATTTGATTTTAATGTAGAGGGTGTGAATATACCGTATTTCATTTCATTTTAATTTCATTTTGATGTACACCTGATATGTTTTAATGTAATGCTAAAATTTAAACATTTCTTTTATGCACGCACTGACAACATTCTGGATTGTGAAGTTAATATTTCCCCCTAAGCATTATTATACTGCGCAAATTGCATCTAAAGGTTCTTATTGCTTGGGAAGAGAACACTGCATTTAACTGAAATTGAGATCTAATGTTGGTTCTTGCATGGTTTTCTTCATTTTGAGATTTAAGGAGCTTTAATGTATTTAGATGCTTATTATAGTTTATCCACCATTAGCCCCATATCTTCACTGAAGTCACTGTACTCTTTTGCTACTGTTCCTTTTTAATTTCTTTTGTCCAATCAGCAATGTCATCAGATGCATGGAGAATTCATAGGATCTACATGTGGAGCCACAGGACCTCTTACCCCTGATGTTCTTTTGTGGTGCTGCATTTTGTTCTTTACTACCTATATTTTGTCAAGTGCACTGAAGAAATTTAAGAACACTAAGTATTTCCCCAGAAAAGTAAGTAGATTCCAGCAGCATTTCTCAATAATGGTGATTAGCCTGCTTTTCTCTATAATGATGATTAGCCAGACGGATTTCCTCAAATGCATGATTATCTCTAGAGATAGGTGGCCTAAGCAGTAAATTTGATAAATAAATAAAAATACCATTGTTGGAAATTGAAAGGAATCCCTCCCCTCATTTCTAGGCACAATCTGCATTCAGATGGAAGTCTGGTTCTCTTTGTTTTTCTGTTTTTCTTGTCTTACCTACAGATTTTGGTCTTAAAAGTCAGTGTTATCCTCGAGCTGGGAACAGGGATATCTTTGTATACCAATTTCAGGGGAACAGTGGTGGGAGGAGAATATGTTTCTGCCTTCCCCTTTCAGGTACTCCAGAGGCAATTGTTGGTTACTGTAAGAAGCGAAAATCTGGGCTAAGAAGGGCATTGACCAGATTTATTTAAAACATTTAAATAGCTGCCCATCTTAAAAACAGCTAGGTGGCTCACAAGCAATAAAATAACATGTAGTATAAAACTAAAATAATATAAACACAACAGTAAAACTAAAAACAGAAAAACCTGGTGCTACAGCCACACTTCTTTAATGCAGCCACATTTCTTGTCCCACCCTAACCTCATCCTGTTCCAATATCTGGGGAAGAGCCAGATTTTAAATGATCTCTGGAAGGATAGAGGAATAGGAACCTGTCAGTTCTCAAAGGGGAGACTATGTTTCATAAGGCAGAGTTTGCAATGGAAAAAGACATGTTTGCCAGAATCCATTAGCTGGCAGGTTTTAAGAAAAGGAGATCCAGAGTGTTTCCATCTGATGGGATGCACAGTTGTCCTCAGGGAGAGAGGATTCTGTAAATAACCTGGTTCCATGCCATGTAGGGCTTTAAAAACAAAACAAGAACCAGCACCTGAAATTGCACTTGGAGAAAAACTGGGAGTAACTTCTGCTCACATAACACACCTAGGAATGTCCAACACTGTGAGTTCCACTGCATTCTGGACCAGTTGTAACTTCTAGGTGTTCTTCAAGGGAAACCTTATTGCATGTTGCAATAATCCAGACAGGAAGTAACCAAGACATGAGTGATCATGACATAACCTCCTGGTCCAGGAAAGAGCACAGTTGGGTAGAAGATGAATCTGTGCAAAGCCTGCCCCTCTCCACCAACAGTTACCACCTTCTCATCAAGCAGTAGCCACGAGTGCAGGAGACTCTCCAAATTATGCACCAGCTTTGTCCAGTGAGTCAAAGATGATGTACCTCCAGGGCCAAAAGGGCCAAAAACCAAAAGCCACTCCATCTTCCCAGGATTGAGAAAGCCATTTCCTCTCCAACAATACCACAATAGCTTCTAGGCACTAGGTCAATACCTTAATCGCATCACCTGCTCGACCCAGGGTGAAGATATACAAGATGTCATAAATCAGATTCTCCAATGAAGCACATTCACGGGCTGGGTAATGACGTTATCCAATGAAGGATTTTTGTGGGCAGAAGATCTGGTAGCCTAAGCTACAATCTTTGTAAGATAAGCATGATATGTACTTCTGGTTTTAATTGCTGTACTGCTCCTTCAAGTTTTTTTTTCCTCTCCTGCTTATGGAAACTTGAAAACAGGCATGCTTTACGAGTTGAGAGAAGAGCATACTGAAGATGTTGCAACCCAGGCTGGTAAATTACCTCAATAAACAGTTTCATGCAAATGTTAAAACAGGACTAGAAAAAGCCCTAAAACCGGATGCATCCCACATTGCAGGGATCTCCTGCTTCTAGTCCCTGAAGTTGGTTTCAGGAGGATACCATGGTTGATCATACTGAAAATCTCTCAGAGATCCAGAATGGTTGAACCTCCCTTGTCCCAAGTCCTCCGAAATAATCAACAAGCATAACAATATCATACTGGTACTTTACCCGGGTCTGAACCCAGACTAAAAAGGGTCCAGAAAATTCACTTCGTTCATTCACAGCCTTCTGTAACTGAGCACTAATCCTTAACAAAGTGATGGAAAAGGGAAGGTTGAAGACTGCATGAAAGTTGTCGTGAGCTGTTGGTCCAAGAGCCTCTTGAGAAAGGAATACCACTACTCATAAAGAGGCATTGACCACCTCTTAGAACCAACCACATGCCACCTCCCAGGAGGCCTTAACCAACCAAGAAGGGCCTGGGGCCCAGAACACAAATGGCAAACTCACAGCCATGAAAGTCCGTCCCACTTTCTCAAGACCTTCTGACTCAAACTCCTTGCAGATAATAGGATGTGTCTCAGTCACTTCCAACAGAGATGCTCAACCAAACTGGAGCCGTTAGACTTTGGCTGAGAAGAATATGTCTCTTTGGCTTTAAGAAGAATGTTCCCCCAAGTGACCCTGCGAGAACTCTTTTGGTCCTCTCTACCAAGGAAGGACCTGCTCACCCACAACAGGGGCTACTGATAGGCTATTTGCAGAATGATAAGGATGGAGAAGTAAGTATATTTCACATTGCCTTAGGGCAGGGGTGTCAAACTTGATTTTATCGAGGGCCACATCAGGGTTGTGTTTTACCTTGGGGGGACAGGGTAGGTGTGGCCAGCTCTACGTCACTTGGGTTGGGGGCCCCTGTGGTGGCCCGAGCGCTCTGCCAGCAAAAACAGGCTCCCGATCTCCCTTTAAAACCACATTGGGTCCATTAGATGCCTGGGGTAGGCAGATCCCAGATGGCTATACTAATATTCTTAAACCTTGGGGCAGACTGTATGATTAAAAGCCAAGTATACACAAATAGATATTAGGCTAGTTTCAAATCAAACAGTAGCTGTGTTTGACAGACTTACCACCAGTGGTGGTATTCAGCCGGTTCGCGCCATATCGGGCGAACCGGTAGCAAGAATTTGGTGTGGGTCACTGAACTGGTAGTAAGTTCTGGCTGGCCATGCCCCCCCCACCCGGTTGCCCTCCCACCCGATGCTCACTCACCCTGCCCGCCTGCCTGACATTCACCTAAGGCATTTCTTTCTTTTGCCTCCTGATAATCAGCTATAGATAAGATCAGCTGTGCCGGGATTCCCCTTGCTGAGGCCCAGGAAGGCAAAAAATGGAGGGAGGAGCTCAGCCCCCCCCCCTCCATTTTTTGCCTCCCAGAGCCCCAGAGGAGCCTTAAGGGAGCAAAAATGCCCCTCCCCAGAGGCTCTTCTGAGGCTAGGAAGCTCCCAGGGTGGGGGCTGCAAAAAAAGCCACGTCCACTCAGTCACATGGCCATGACCACCAAGCCACGCCCACAGAACTGGTAGTAAAAGTTTTTGGATCCTACCACTGCTCACCACCCATAGTGCCGAAGCCAAAATCGAAAATTAGCTTCACTGTGCTTTAATCTAATGTGTGAACCAGACCACCACAACACAACTTCAATTTCTATATGTGCCTAACAGATTGAAAATATTAGACACCTGCAATTGCTGAGATAAATCAGTGTCATGCCCTCTCTATTAAGTCTTCCCTTCAGCAAAGATTGGAAGAGAAGAACAGAAGATGTTTGACTAGACTTGTTTGAGGACTGGCTCCTTTTGAATAATGAAAACAGAACTTTTAGAAATAACATTTCTAAAACATTTTCCTGCCTTTTCCTGTGTTCCAAATTTTTCAAAACAGCTCATACGATGTCCGAGTTGTAGAAGATCTTGTACAAGGAGTTCAAAGCCATTTTTGATTGCTTTGCACAAGAACTGAAATTTCATGACATTTATTTTTCAGATTTGGGGAGCAATTATTCATCAGGTGGACAGTGCATCTGTTCAATATCCAGCAGGTGTCCTGGTTGGCAATATGAATATCATACATCCAACACTTGGTTTATTTGGAACTGATTATTTAGGTTAATAGATCAAGTCCTACAGTATGTATCCTAACGCTAACTTGGACGGACTTGTCTCCCCCACCTCTTTTCCTCTTTAGGTACGCTCTGTGTTAAGTGATTTTGCTATTTTTATAACTATTGCTACCATGGTCCTAATTGACTACTGCATTGGAATCCCATCACCAAAACTGAATGTCCCAGGTGTCTTCAAGGTAGGTACTTCACCCCATCTTCTTGAATTCTTCTAAGTGCAGGTAGTGGTATGTGGAAAATATCCCTTGCCTGAATAGCTGAAACAGGAGAGTTCAAGGCCTGCCTTAGATGGTTTCTCGTATCCTTTCGGGAAGAAGGGAGGATGTCACCCTTTGTGACTAATTGTATGTGGGCATTGAGGCTGCATGTATAGCAGAGTGGGAACTGAGATCCTGTTTGTAACATTCAGGATATGCTGTACCTTGTTTCTGAAGAGGGAAAAGTACTTTAGAGTGAGTGGGAATATAAGTAGGATACAAAGTTGAGATTCTTGAGTTGCATTTAGCTTCTGGAAGGCTTGAAAGTGACTCAGTGCCCCAAAGTGCCATAAAATTGTGGTTTCAAATGTGGTAATAGGAGAAAAAGGCTAACTTTATAGGGAATGATTGAAGTAAGGATATTTAATGAGTTTAAATTAAATTAAATTTCACTTTTAATAGCCAGGCTTCTTTTATTTCATTCGTTTAACTCTTTCTACTTTTTACAGTGAAATTTCTAGTATGTTACTCAAAAGGTTTTGTGGGCTTGACCCTACAAAAAACATGCATAACCAACATTTTAATTCCCTACCAAAGAGGAATCATAGGTTTACATTCATAATTGAGTGGCCATACCAAGGCCCATGTTCATCGTCCAGTGAAATGCCAGCCAGTGACATTCCTATATTGTTGTCTACATATAGCTAAAACAAATTGGGGGTGGCGGGGTGGGAAAGCATACAAACACGGCACAGTTCATTGTTGCATCTGTGTATTTTATTTTTCTCCAGCCAACAAGAGATGACCGTGGATGGCTCATTAGCCCAATAGGCCCCAATCCCTCATGGACTGTGCTAGCAGCGATCATCCCAGCATTACTCTGTACTATACTGATATTTATGGACCAACAAATCACAGCAGTTATTGTGAACAGGAAAGAACATAAACTTAAGGTAATAGAGCAGTGTGTCCAGGATAATTTGCCAAGCTTTTCTTTCTATGGCTGTCATGTGAGAAGTGAAATCACTGTGAAACAGCAGCATAATCCAGATTAAATGGAACTTTAGTTTGAGTAAAATCAGCAGGTTGTGTTATTTCAAAACAGGTTTTTATACAAACGACAAAGTGAAATGTATCCCATTACGGCTATAATCCAGTGTACACCTACTGTAGGGAGGTGAGGGGGGGAAACCCATAGCATACAGTAGAGATTGAAACTTTAAATTTGTTCTTAAAATGGAAATCTAAAGTTCCTTTGGAATAATTTTATTTCCAGTTTTTGGAAACCAGGAGAGCCAGATTTCCATTTCAAGTGACAAATAAGTCTGCAATCTTATATTGCTTGTGTAAAAATACTTTAGGGTCTGTTGCATTTTTCAGATTGCTCTGATCTCAGAGGGCGAAATCAGTATTGAAACATTCCCAAATTCAAAAGTAATTTTGAAGATTTTATAGAGGAACATTGTTGTGCAAGTGGGTGAGATATGGCTCTGCTCTACTTAACGTTTGTTTATCTTCCAGGCTGACAAAAAAACAGAGTGAAAAAAATTAAGCAGCCTGGAGCTGGTATAAAAGGAAATTAAATAATAAAAATGCTTCTCTCCTGCTTTTCCAGGCCCCCATATCAGAACTTCTTAAGCTGATAGGAGACTTGGTGTGCCAGCATGCCAATCTGCTGCTTTAAAGTTGAAACAAATAAATCCCTGTGGTTTATGCACTGTTTTGTGCCTCTTCCACTTTTAGCAAATGTGCAGTATATATGCAAGGTTTAGCATAGGAAGCAAAAGAGCCAGTCAAATCAAACCTTGAAGGAAAAAAGCCAATACAGATTTATGTTGATTATTGTTTAGTAATATCAAAGATGGACAATTAGAACAAAGGGAGAATTTCTGGCTCTGTACCTAACCGTTCATATATGAGGGAAATAAGGTAAAGGTAAAGGTTCCCCTTGCACATATGTGCTAGTCATTTCCGGCTCTAGCGGGCAGTGCTCAAAGCTGAAGAGCCAGCGCTGTCTGAAGACGTCTCCATGCTCATGTGGCCAGCATACCTAAATGCCGAAGGTGCACAGAATGCTGTTACCTTCCCACCAAAGCGGTCCCGATTTTTCTACTTGCATTTTTTACATGCTTTCAAACTGAACTGCTAGGTTGGCAGAAGCTGGGACAACTAACGGGAGCTCGCTCTGTTACATGGTGCTAGGGATTCGAACCATCCAACTGCCAACCTTTCTGATCGACAAGTCTTAGCCACTGAGCCACAGCGTCCCTGAGGGAATATGAGGGAAATATTCCTGCCTAATTTCTGGAAAGCTCAAACCAGTTCTGAGAATATTGAATTCCAAAGATTTACCAATAGGATGCAGCTCCCAGTAGTGCATAATTGTCATTATTTAGTGAGCTGCACTTCTGCTCATCACAAATGCATGCACACAATTTTAAAACATGCCATATAGTCAGAGCTAAAGTGGGAGAATAAATAAATCAGGAAAGTGATCTGATCAAGACCCTGTTCACAACTCTAAAAAGTGTTGGAAACTGCAATTCGCTTTCATTGCTAGTTAGATGTGTGTGAAGCCAGAGGTCTGAAATAGGTTTCTTCCATCCCAAAGAATAGCATCTTAGTGAAAAGTCCTTATTCCATGCCATGACTCCCTAGTTCTCAACCATATGAAGAAACATTGGGCAACACGTGGGAAGAAAAGTTAAATCGTAGCAAAGCGTTCCTAACCAATCTCAGTGCAGATGAACATATTTTCAAACATGAAAGAATTTTGATTATAACAGATATGGATAACAGATGTGACCAATCAAGGATGAGCTACTTTTCTCC